GAGGAGAGGGGCTTACAATGGGGGAGGGGGATAAAGAACAGGGAGGCTATGATGGAGGGGAGGAAGACAAACTGTGGGGGTGGAGAAACAAAAACTCAACTGATATAGAAAGTTGGAAAGAGATAGGGGGCTGGAGAGATGGCTCAGTGGTTAAGAGCACTGGCTGCTTTTCCAGACGTCCTGAGTTCAATTCCTAGTAACCACATGGTGGCTCACAACCATCTGTAATGGGATCTGATGCCCTCTTCTGGTGTGTCTGAAGACAGCTACAGTATACTCACATATATAAAATAAATAAAAAAAAAATCTGAGAGAGAGAGAGAGACAGAGAGAGAGAAAGAGACAGAGAGAGACAGAACAGAGACAATGACTCTTCAATGGCCAAGTTAACTAAAGCAACTTGGGAAGGGAAAGGTTTGTTTCATCCTACAGTTTCTGGTCCATCATCTGGGGACATCAGGGCAGGAACTGAGCCAGAAGCCATGGAGAAAGCTGCTTACTGACTTGCTCCCTGTGGATGTTTTCTTGGTCTGCTTTCTTACATCATGGGACCACCTGTCCACTCATGGCCCTGTCCCCAATGAGCTGGACCCTTTCACATTCAATCACCAATCAAGACAATGTCCCACAGGCAAATCCAGTGAAGTCATTTTTTAAATTAAGGTTCCCTCTTCCCAAACGACTCTAACTTGTGTCAAATGGCATAAACTAGCCAGCACTGATTGTAATATGTATGTATGTATGTATGTATGTATGTATGTATAGACATATATACACACACGTATATACATATATATATAATTGAGTGTATATATAATTATATATATAATTGAGTGTGCACGTGTATGTGCGCGAGTGTGTGTGTATTTGCTGGCCTCAAGCTCTGAATCTTCCCCTTCTGTCTCAGCCTCCTGTTTGCTTTAGCATCCTACCTGTTGGGACAGGGTGTAGGAATGCCCTGTATCCCTGAGGTCAAATTCCCTAAAATTGGATTCATTGTAGAGATTTTTTTTTTTGAGACAATGTTTCCCTATGTATCCCTGACTGACCTGTAACTTTCTATGTATCTACCATGTCAGCCTCAAATTCACAAAAGATCTCTCTGTCTCTGCCTTCTGAGTGCCGGGATGCCTGGCTGATAACTTCCTTTCATTAAAAAAGTGTTTTAAAACTTAATTTTATTATTTTTGTGTATGTGGATTTGCATGTGTGTATGTGTTCCTGCAGAGGCTGGAAGAGGGTGTCGGATCTCCTGGAGCTGGAGTTACATATAGGCAGTTATGGGCCACCAGCCCCAGTGCTGGGAACAGAGCTCCTGTCCTCTGGAGCTAGAGTTACATACAGAGAGTTGTGGGCCACCAGCACTGATGCTGGGAACAGAGCTCCCGTCCTCAGCGCTCTTAAGCACTGAGGCATCTTTCCAGTTCTATTTCAAGAATTTTCCAATGCTAAATTCTGTATCACCTTTCTTAACTCCTGATTTCTGCTGAACGTTTGCAGATGGGTCCCGCAAAATTCTCCACGAGTTCTTACTCCACAGGCTGAGAAACAACCCTGGAAGATCTCAACAACAACAACAACAACAAAAATGTTCCCTTATAATAAAATACAAAATGAATCCTGTCACATTGGTATATTTAATTAATTATATGAACCCCAAGAAATCCAACCTCTTCTCTATAGTAGTTCTAGTTTTTCTTTTTAAAAATATTTATTTTATTTTATGTGTATAAATGCTTTGTCTGCGTGTAGTATGTGTACCACGTGTTCATGGATGTCGGAACAATTGGAGTCACAATGTTTGTGGGATGCCCTGTAGGTGCAGGAATTGAACTCAGGTCCTCTGTGAGAGCAGTCGGTAACCACTGAGCCTTCTAAATTTTTCTTAAAACAGATTATGTTTTCTCTAATACAGAAATACCTAGATTTTCATGTCCAGTTGCCATTAAGATACATCCCCACCAGATGAAGAATCCCACAAATTTAGGTCATTTCTCTAGCCACCGGTAATTAGCCGCTATCTCCTCACCACCTCTGCCAGCAGCTTCAATCAAAGTGGTTCGAGAAAGGATTCTGCCAAGCATATGTGGCAAAGTCAGACCCCTTGGGCTGGGCACGAATGTCTAGAATTTTAAAGAAGCTATATATAGTTTATAGAAACCTGGTCAATTAACCTTCGTAAACAGAATGGAAATTGCTTGACCCTGGCTGAAGGAGAGAATGACCAGGATGCTTGTTTCCATAGAGGTAGAGTTATCTGTATAAGAAAGAAACTGGCTCGGGGTCTGTGAGATGCCTCCGTGTATAAGGGTGCTTGCTGCCAAGGGTGATTATCTGAGTTCCATCCATGGAGTCCATATGGTGGAAGGAGAGAACATTGTCTTCTGACCATCACACATGCACTCTGTCACACTCGTGTGTGGGTGGGTGGGTAGACAGACAGACAGACAGACAGACAGACAGACAAGTAGATTAAATGCTTGGCTTGGTCCCTGGCTTACACAGGCTCTATGGTTACATAGACAAGGACTGTAATTGACAGAGGGACCATCAGCCTTGGGGGTCTTTGGGGACATCTCTAGCAGGAGAAGCTCTGCAGATGGATTCTGACGGCAGGACCCTGACTTGCCTCCGCTGCCAGCGTAGGCTTCTGAGATCTGCTCTGAGAATCCTATGCAAATACACAGGGCACGTTTAGTAAGAGTAGGCATGTTTCTGAAAAAAAAAATAGTTTACTGTGATTACCTTAAGAGAAATGGGTTTACTGGCGAGATGGCTCAGTCAGGAAAGAGTGAAGAAAGACCTATGTTCAGATGCCAGAACCCACATTTAAAAAGAAAGCAATACCAACCAAAAAAAAACTCACATTAAAAGCAACAGCAGCAATGGGGCTGGAGAGATGGCTCAGTGGTTAAGAGTACTTTGTTGCTATTGCAGAGGACCTGGGTTCAGTTCCCAGCACCAAACATCTGTAGCTCCAGTTCCAGGGGACCCGATACCCTCTTCTGGCCTCCATAGGCACACAAAGCATGTGGTGCACAGACATACATGCAAGGCAAAACACAAATAAAAATGAAATGAATAAATATAGATTTAAAACAAAAACAGACAGAGCAACACATGCCTGCAAGCGGAGGTTAGAGGAAATCCAGAGTTCCCTGGCTGGTTAGTCCAGCCTAACACAGAGCCCAGAGCCTCTGTCTCAAAACAATAAGGTGGACAGGAACTGAGGGAGACATTGGACATGACCTCTGACCTCTACATGCACCCTGGCACACTTACACACGTGAACAAATAGACACCTAATTTTTTTAAAGAAGTGAGTATTAATATGGGGGAAAATCATATTTTCATAGAAAACTGTTTGTCCCTAGCATCTCCTATCTTCCGTCTTTCTGGACTACTACACATCTACAAAATGGGCAGGATCCTGAATCAGCTAGTTAGCACCTCTATATGGCTGTCACTGCCCAAATCCATGGTTTTAACTTCCTCTCAGGGTTCTGCTTTGGAGTGTAGAGCCTGCCCTTCTCCCTAAAGTCCATCAGGCTGAGGCTGCATATCATAAACATCCACAGCTCAGGTGCTTCTGTTGTGGGCAGGATTCAAAAGGGGTGATGGTGGCTGCTCACACATTCCTGGGGCCTCAGCCTGGGCAAGAACTTAAAGGCCCAGTCCACAGAACTCTCCGTCACTGCCCTCACCATCCCCACAGTTCATATGGCTTTATGGCCTGTTTCAGTGGTTCCCCCTTGATCTGTATAAAGCCCTCTTTAATGGACTGTGATAGTAAATACACCCACCAATGTCTGTACTGTGAACCTGCTTTGGAAAGCATCAGGTGGACACCTGTTGGGATTCATGGTGTCACCTCAGATCCAGGCTGTAGGAAACCAGAACCTGCCACTTTGACATACCAGTTACTGGAAGCCAAAATTGATGGAGAACTAGCAACACATGCAAAGCCTAACCCCACCCAACTGCCTAAAACAAAGGGAGAAACCTCTGCTTGTGCAGGAAATCAGTACTACAGAGAAAATGTCCCCGAGGGGGGGGGAGGGAAAGGGGGAGGGGGAGGGGAAGGGAGGGGAGGAGGAGGGGGGAGAGGGAGAGAGAAAGAGAGAGAGAGAGACCTCTACTTGTGCAAGAAATCAGTACCACAGAGAAAGTGTCCCAGAGAGAGAGGGGGAGGAGGGAGAGAGAAAGGGAGAGGGAGAG